TGATTAGTTTAGGTGGGCCTTTCTTTTAGCTGTCTGAAATATGTTTTGCTGCTGACCACATCCACAACAGTTCATGGCATTGCTGCTGTGCTGGTACTCCTGTCTGCTTCACCAAACTGGGGTTGTGCCGACCGCTGACTACTGTAGTAAAACACTGACTGTGTATAAGAACGTCATGCAGCCCCACTTCAAAACACCAGATCTATCCCTTTAAGTCCCCAGGGTGGGACATCCTGCTGACAACATGGCCTACTTTCTACCTAATGTGCCCACAGCCTGAGAATGTGGGCCTCTGAGAAGATGTTCCTGTTTGTCCCTTGTGAGTGTGCTCTGTGTGACTGGCCTGTGTCTGCAGGACTCAGTCTCACCCTCACAGTGCATTCCACAAGGCTGCTGATGATCGCTGTCTGTTTGGTAGTGATGGTGAGAATGTCACAGTTCAACACAACAACGGTCCACTTCTGTGTGATGTCTCATTGCATTTAACCTCTCCACCATTGCTCCCCTGGTGTGTTCCAGATGTGTTGCATGAGTGGATAATTGCAAGCCAGACCTGTACCCCCCAGTTCTAAAAGCTCCCATGTCTTTCTACTGAGCCCTTATCTACCAAAGGAACAATCCCATATTACATTGGTCAATGTCATCAGTTACCAAACTCATTTTCATGAAATCACATGCAGTAATGACCTCTACAGCCGCCATTTCCCCTGTCTTGATAGTTAATGGTGAGTTAACATTTCAAAAATCTGAACTTGTTGAAATGACAAAAACATGCAATATAAGACATTCTATAAACCTAAAGCTGCATATTATTTTTTCTTCTAAACACAACGTCTATTTACACACATCCTGCAGACACGGAGCAACATTGGCAGTTGGGTTTGTGTCCACCTGATGAATCCAGGTCCAGTAGTCACTAACTGGCTCATTCACAATGTTCTTCAGCTAGTTTTGGACTGTCTGCTTGGTGCTGAGCAGACAGTGTTCACTGGGTTTATCTGGAACGAGAGAGGAGTTTGTGGGCCATAAAACCACAACAATAAGCCAGAAGAGGGTAAATGCTCTGTAGAGCCGAGGGGAACTGCAAATTACACTTACACTGATTTCCAAATACTAATCAAAAAAAAGAATATGATTAAGCCTGTTATTTGTCACCATACAAATGTTACTAGCATTTTCCAGAGCTTTCAACTTCATTTTACCATCTTCTTCAGCACATACAGTTTGCTGAAATGTCATGTATTATAAATAGGAAAAAATAAAATGCACTGCTACAACCAAACATTCCTACTGTGTTCTAAAGTCTCACATGTTACCACTATGTTCATTAAGTTGAATGTAGCCTACTCTTACCATTCATCACTCCGCATAAATGCATCAGTGTAAATTCATGAAGGAGGATCTGACTAAACGCATACAGCGACACTGTACAGCATTTTGTAATCAGTAGGAAATGGCTTTCTTAGGAGGACTATTCACGGTGCTGTGAAGTCTACAGAAGCACCTTCATGGTCGTTGGTAGATCAATGACTTGTCTAATCTTTGACCCCTCTCTATTTTGTGGACCAGCCGTGTCCACATCTCTCAGAGCACCATGGAATGTCTTCATGGAGAGTTTGATGTGGAGCCAGGGAATGGAGGTGAGCGCTGTGACTACCTGAGGGAGAGGGGCATCGAGACCTTCCTTGTGGTTGTTCCTAAAGGACCTGTGGGGAAGAGTGGCATCAATGGTGTAGTGAGTCAAACCTGCCACACTGCAAATATTTGGATATTCAAATGATACTCTCATATTCAGCCAGCTAATATACAGGGAAAGTACAATGTTACATTTGCAATCACATTTGAATAGCTCTTGTTACTCAAAGCTAAATGTTAATATAATTTCAAAATAAAATATACTGTATGTTTATCATTCAAAATACATGGATATGTTGCAAATGTAAAAAGGAAGAAAGAAAAGTCTGTCAACTTTTCACAGTAATCACTCAGCACTGTTTGCTTGTTTCACATTAGAAGCTGTCTGTTACCTCTTCCAATGGAAACTCCCCGCTGTTGATCAACACCACAGAATGTAACGGCAGTGTGAACACAGCCTGCACCACACCGGAGGAACCAGAAGACCTTGATGCAAGGGTAACCAAGAACTCACTAAGATTAGAAGTAGAAAACGTTGTGGAGCACGAGTCTCACTGGTGACACCCTGATGATATAGAGCTATTCTTAGGGCCTGGTCACAACAGCATTTATAAGAGGGACAGTTCTGACCAAAATCGGTTTTTCTCAGTAGAATTGAAGTAGCTTGCCATGCCATTTGCTGAGCACATTGATTATATGAGAGTGTGAGATAATCTTGTGTTCACTGTTGACATTTTGTCCTGAGGCATGCACAAGAGGAAAGCTGGTGGTGTCTAAAATGGAGTTCATCCTCTGCACAGTGTGAAGTGTGCAACCAGCGTCTTCTTTCTTAGCGCTCGGAGCGCTTCAAGTTGAAAATCTCTGAACTTTTCAGAAAAGTGCTGGTGATCACTGTAGTAAATGGAGGAGAAGCTTGTTTTGGCCATGTCTGTCTATCGTGAACTCCCATTTGTGGGAGCAGATCAGCTGGGCAGACACTGACTGTTGCTGGTGAGTGTTTTATTAGCGTACGCCTTGTCCTTGCTCTGACGTTACGACTGTCAGATTGAGTGGTGACAAGATCATCTATATTAAGTATGAAGCAGACATCCTCTGTTTGGTGCTCATGATGAAAAAAACGATGTAAAACAAATGGATAGTAGCCCTAATAGATAATACAAAGCAAAGGAGTAATGCTAGTCTATCATACAGCAGTGGTTAGAGTGCTGATTAGTTGTTAAGATATTTTTGTCATAAAACGCTGGGATGAAGCGCTACCCAGCGTCCTGCTGCCGCTTTTTTGCCAGAAAAAGGTGCTATGTGGACACAGGCCCTTAGGCTTCAACCCCAGAGGATCATGAATATCCACAAGTGTCTTTGTGAAGCAAGGTGTTGATGTTCAGAGGGGGTTCTTGTGGTGGATTGAAGTGTTAGGACAGATCAGCTGACTAACATAATTGCTGACATGGCATTGATATAGTAAGATGTAGAAATTATTTGGGTGTTCTCCATTTACTTTCTTCTGTCTGGGACTTAAGGTGGTAAATCCATCTTTCCCTAACCCTCGGAGAAGGCTGCGGCTGCGGGACCTGGCTGAAAGGGTCATCGATGCTCAGGAGAACGAACAGGAGCTCAACAAACTGCTCAACGAGGCTCTGCTGGAAAGAGAAACAGTACAAGCGTAAGTGAATACCGTCACTGGTTGATAAAGCACTACTTTATGTCATGTTGGTGGTCATTACATTAGAGTTACATTTTTTGGATCAGATTTTCATTTTAGTTATCATTTATTTATCACACTGCTAGAAATTATTCTATTGTGAACCACAAATAAATAGAGCTGGGTTTTGTTGGAAATGTGTTCTGGTACCAAGTACACTTATGAACCACCCAATGCTTGAACAAAGTGTTTGCTAGCACATAAGTCCAACAACAAAGCACCAATTCGGTCCAGATCAGGCAGGCTGTTTCACCCAATCACGTTATTCCTTCAACATCCAGGATGTAACCTTCAGCCTAGTTGTTGTATTTCTTGGTTTGGATTGATTTTTTTGAAAGAAAAACTGAGTCAAATTCCTTGTGTGCGTACGCATTCATGGCCAATAAAGCTGATTCTGATTCTGATTTTTACAGAATTATCTGCTCACATTTGGTTCTTCCAACACTTAGCTGGGGTGCACAAGTCAAATCATTGGACCACCAAATAAAACAATGTTTCCTCCTTTTACTTTCCACCTCGTTCCCTACCTAAGGGTATACCCTCGTGGGGGCAAGCTCATATGAGTGGTTGAAAATGGAGGAGACATCTGATTGGCTACATATGATTCGCTGTTGAACAATGCATGTTATGAATCAAGCGATGTCAGGGAAGTCTGAAGAAAACCCACACGCAAATTCACTCACCCAGTTTGTAAATGCAGGTTCAACAGTTTGTATATAAATGTAACAACATCCCAATATGTTTTTGATGAAAATTTCAAATCCTTTGAAATACATACATTTGTGAATTTCTAAAAAAAAAAATGTAAACAAGAAAGATCTTAAGTGTGGATTCTGTATACATTTATGTATAATGATAACTGTTTTTGTGTATTGAAAAATATTTTTGTGGAGAGAATCATATGTATATATAAATACGTTTTCATATATAGATTTGTGAATCCTTCTGTGTTCATTCATTAAAATTGACACTGATCTAATCCCATAAATACCAATATTTTAAAACGGATGTCAGTGTTCGGGTTCTCTTGTCTTGTCAGTCTGAAGGGGAAACACACCAACACACTCTCCCTGAGGTTTGTGGATCCAGACCTGGAGACTCGTTACTCTGTGGAGAAGGAGAAACAGAGTGGAGCTGCCTTCTGCTGCTCCTGTGTGGTCCTGCTCTTCACTGCAGCTATGGAGGCCCTCATAGACCCCTGGTCAGTTCACACGGCCAGGAGTAATTTCTCTCCCTTTCTTTTTCTCACATTGTGGCCATGTTCCATTTTTGTCCCGCTCTGGCTGAGACATAAATTGGCAAAATAATCCTATTGGTATGATTATTTACTCAGTTCTATGAGGAATCCTCCGCTTGGGATCTAACATTTTTGCACAACCCAACTCACTGTGATATTGCTCTCTGCAGTATTGTTTTCTGTTCAGCTCTTAATGACTTGAACTGATATTGTTGACTACTACCACTGAAATTTTTTCACGGTTTGTCTGTGTTTTCGTGTGTTATGGAACAGGCTGATTGCAAACTACATCACCTTTGCAGTGGGAGAAATCCTGCTGCTCATCCTGACAATCTGTTCTCTGGCTGCCATCTTCCCTAGAGTGAGTTACAACCTATTTTCATACATTTACACTTGAGTGTTTTGAACATGTTTTCTCTGCCTGGTAGTACCAGTTATCAGGTAGCAACACCTTCTCCAGATATGGTGACTGCCAAGTGTGTCAGGTTAGTCTGACCAAAGCCCAAAACCAGCAGAGTGCGTATCCATTTTGTGGCTGGGTTTCTTCCGGGGGCCAGGAAACATGGCTTGTCCTCTGCGACCGGAGAGACCGTGTTCTCTTATGCCCAAACACAGAGAACCCTAGCAAGCTTTCTGACAGTTTATGAGCTCTTAATTCCTGAAAATGAACAGTCACACAAATGTACCTTCAGTAATGTTTTGTTAGAAAATAGTTTAATGTTTTGGGAAATATAAATTCCCCTCCTTTCAATTGAGGAAATCAGTGTCGATGTGTGTCGTTATGGAGCTGGAGTCAGGATGAGATCAGCATCAGGACCGGAAGCAGGGGGAAAGTTCAAAAACACATCTACTAACACCTCTACAGCTCACTGATTTCAGATATAAACAGAAATGGGAAAAAACGGTTTGTGCTTTTAGGGGGAGTTACATTTCATAACTATTTCCACAGTGGGTGCAGTGTCTGTGTGCAGTTTCCTGAGATTGTAAGGTTTCCAAAGACCAAAACCTGTGGTCATGGACCGTATCTGGAACCCTCTGCTTCTTATCAAACTCCACATCTGATTCACAAAGAAAAAGCCAGTTAGCACATTTCCCAAAATGTCAAACTGTTCCTTTAAAATCCTTTTCCTGAAATCTAGATATTGTAAGACTTTTTGTGGACACTCAGACACTAGTATTGCCAAATGGTTCCACTAGAAGCTCTAAATGTGCTATGCTTTGATGACAGCGCAAAATAGTTTCATAGTTGCCATGATAAACATGTGGTGTGTTGTGCATGCAGCAGTACTTTCCATTCCACCTTGTCATGGAAATTCAGATATATTGATATCCAGCAGGCTGGCCAGTATTGATTGCTCCTGTCAGTTCAGGTCGGTCAGCAACATGCACACAGGCAGTCAGTCACTGAGGAAATGTTAATAATGCTCTGGGCTCTTCAGAACTTATCAATATCACATCAAATATCACAATGCCATAAGCCCACAGTAACCTTTCCATCTCAGTCCATTAAGAGTGGCACTCGTGTATGAATGTGATCTTCTTCACTTTCCACTGTACCAGCCACACTGCTTATTTACAGCAGATATTTTGACATGTCATAACAAAAAAAGTACAGGAGTAACTAATGATTGTAATAATGGCTACATTCCATTTAAGTTTTTTGTTTTGTATCATGTTCCCGTTAAAGTCATGGCAGTGTAATTGCATAGCTAACTTGCATCTTTATATACTCAACTGCATTTCTTCCTGGATGACACATCATTGTTGGCTGTTGTATCAGTTTTCATCAGTTACCATAACCATCTTTAGAGAAGGTTATAATAAATGTCTATCTAGCTTAACGTATGTATCTCACACATCCGACATGCACAAACAGGATTTTGATCTACAGATGAAAAAATTCAGGTTATTAAATTCCAAAGTTAAGCCTTTCTGGCTCCAGAGATAAAGGTTATCCAGGAGTGCTGGGATTGTGCTCTAAAAATGTACAGTAGATATCAGCAGAAGTCACATATTTATAGAAGAGCACCTCACTACGAAGTAAGTCAGGATCTTACACACAGTAAAACTGTTAACAGTTTTTTGCTGTTGCATCAGATGCATAATTTTACCATACATACGTACATAAATACATAGCAGATGTAGAGGAAGTGGTTGGTCTGGTTTGTGAGGATAAAGTAGTGAAGTGTAGCGATGCAGAGACATGGAGTGAGGCGGAGTGAAGTCCTGTCTCCCAGCTGTTCTGAGGACACACAGGGTGGCCCAGCACTGTTTGTCAGGTCAGGATCTGTACACAACAGCCAACAATATGTTTCATTCATAAACCCTTCAGAACACAATTCAAAGACCACAATGCATGTTGATGTATGAGCGTTTCCACATTTGCAATGATGTGTAACCTTGCACATAGTAGAATAACTTCAATCAGTTGTACATAGTGTTTTTTATAAAGAACACTTGTATTGTTTCTCTGTACTCTGTTTAGCTATCAGAAATTGTATCGGGGAGATGCAGTTTGTCATGTAAAGTATTGGTATAGTGTAGAAATACAGACTTACATACACACCAAACTGCAATGTGTCCAAAGGTCAGCTAGAAGGAGAAGGTGTCACTCATCTCTGCTACAGGATGAAAGTTTAAGGTTTGACCAAACTGAACAAAATATTTACTTTGATTATATTTGTTCCGACACACATACACACTACTCTAACCTTTTCCCAATTTTAATATGCAAGTAACATAAATGGAACTGTTAAAATACTTACTCTTGCCAGCGCTTGTTGTCACCAGGACTCAGATGAATACATTGACTCTGAATATCTTCCGTCTCTTGCCCACGCAGGTCCAGTCTTTATATCAAGTCACGGATGACCCTGGCTGGGAATTGTCACTTTGCGTCTTAATTTACTGTTTTCCTTTACATAACAAAAGACATTTCCACCATAAACTGATGCAAAAATTTAAAAAAAGTTTGCACATAGCAGCTTTAAAACAGGGCACTTCCTTAATGCCATGGGCACTGCATGCATTAGCCTAGGGGCTCGCCAACCTTTCCTCACTCATAGCTCTTCTACTCTTACTTGGTTTAAGTCACTGCCTCCCCCGACAGGGTTATCTGCACCATGGTTGAATTTTAGCCTGCATGCACGTTTCCGCCCAACATTGTAGAAACATGCTGCTGATATTGGAAACAAGTTACCGGACAGCCGATCGTTTGAATGCCTTCTCTCTGCTTCACACACGTATATGTGCGCAAAGTTCCACCCTCGATGAAACACAGAGATCAAAGGAGAGGAGAGAGAGAGAAACTTGCATGACAGTAAAACACAGTAAGGACTCATACTGACCTTAAATGATACCAAAACTCTCGATTATGTTCTCGAACTGCATAAGTGCAGAATCGTCCACGTCCGCATCGTGATGCATCTTTGAATGGAGAAATTTCCACACATCTACGCTCCACTAATGAACACATTCTGATGATGCAGTCCCAAATGAGTGGGCAAGTTTAATAACTATTTTCAAAAACACTAATCAGTAATATGAATGGCTGAACAGAGCCAGTTCAACTTATTCAATCTCACGACAGATGACAAGTTGAAAGAAGTTTGATCGACTAAAATGTTAATTTAATAATAAAACTATACTAGTTAACGATAATCAAACAGTAACTTTGGAAATGTCCTGCCTATTTCATATTTGAAAGCTAAACAAGTATGGAGCTTTTTTCCTATCTTTATTCACGAATGTGGTCTTTCAATTTGAGACTATGACTCGTTGATTTAACTTCTGCTCAAACACGTGCACACATTTGCAGATTTTTTGCGCTCCAGCTTCAGCCTTTCTCCTCACACTGACAAAGATGCTGTGAATCAACCACAGTCATCTTGCTCATTGACAGTAATGCACAGAGAGTGGTTGTGCAAGCAACAATATATCTGTGTGCAAGCATAAAGTTTCAGCAGAAGCAGAGCAAATCCAAATGCAAGCAGGGGCTATTTGAGTGTAAGGACAGGGAACGAGGGAAAGCATTGCAAAATGTGAACTTGAAATCATTAAATCATGCCCTGAAATTGAATGAAGATAGGACATAAGCTCCATAAACAATGGGAAACTAAATAGTTCAGTTGGATTTTAAGATGTATCGCAGTTTAAGTTTTTCAGGGTGAATACACTTCTTACTCCAAACCTTGTTAGTTTTGTCTCACTGTTTTTGACTATTAAAAAGCAATGGGAAACGTATAGGTAGCAGGCTTCTCATTTTTAGCCTACTTTTGAAGTTTCAGTTAAAATTGCAGACATCAGCAGATTAGATATTATCTTAGATTAGATTAGCTAATTAATTTAAATTCCTTAGTGGCTAAAATGAAAAGCTTGTGTTAATGTGCTGTCTGCAGCTGGCGTCTGCATTCAGCCTAAAGATTGTTTGTGAGTGTCACTCTGTAACACCACTCTACAACCGCCAGTGGGTTTTAGTGATTCAACAGGGACAATCAGAGTGGTATCTTAAATTATCATCTAATCACATCACACCAGTTTATGAATTTCCCAGTTAAACTTTGATTCATATCATAATAACATTTGAATATGATCAACTTCATTGTTCTCAACCAGGATCTTCAGTATTTGGATTAGGAGTCCATGGAGTATAATAATTATTGTTAATAATATTATGCTGCTCAACTCATTTCAAGGTTGTAGGTACAGGCTTTAAACATTAACTAAAAACTGCAGTGTTTCTGCCTTTCTCAGCCAACAAAAGGTGAGTTGACTTTGAGTTGAAACCTAATGAGATTTCATTAGAGATTTGTAAGGAATTGGGTTTGATACTGGATTTGATTGTCATGAAATGCTCTTGAACTACATCCCTATATAGCATGTAATTAAGATGCAGCTTTAGAGTGAAATTATTTGGTTTATAGGCTTTAGTGAACTGCAACAGTTTGATAGAAATAATGTGCTGTTACTTTCCTAATTGGAATGGTGTATGTGTCAGGTCTTTCCCAAGAAGCTGGTGTCTTTCTCCACCTGGATCGACCACACCCGCTGGGCTCGTAACACCTGGGCTATGGCAGCCATCTTCATACTCACCATGGCCGACATCATGGACATGGTGAGCAGCTCTCAGCTGTTTCTTACACAGACAAAGACAAAAGACAAAACCTGTGTTCATGGAACTTTTTTCCTATCTTTATTCAAGAGCTTTGTTTTTAAAATGTGAGAGCATGACTTATTGATTTTACCTGAGATTTTGTAATGCTTCCTTCAAAACCCTGATTGCGTTTTGATTTGCTCTGTATACTGTACTCCTCATCTTTTCTTGGATTTGTTTGTGCAATAACCCTGTGAAAATTCCCCTACCAAAAGAATATGGGGTGTCGTGTTAACCAATGACATGATCCCTTTTCTTTACCACTTTTGGAATAATAGTAAAGTTAATATATACCAGCGCACCACCCCTACTTTTTTCTTTATAACATCTGCACTGGCCTCCTGTCTATGTGCTAGAGGGGAACAAAGAATGGTCAGTGGAGCAAGTTACAATTAGTGGCACAAGTAGCCGCTGATTATTCTAGTGAGAATCTGTTTATGTTGGGAGTGGCACCAGTCAATGCAACACAAGCCGCTTCATGTGGTTTACAACCGCAGCAGCATGCTACGTCAAGAGTCAACAGCAATACCACTGACAATCAATAAGGCTCTATATCTTGGCACCAAGAAAACAAAAAACATAGCACAGCGCTGCAAAGCTAACATTAACTATGCATCAAACGTTAGCTGAGACTGAAAATAGATCACTTTCAACACAAGTATGTTCAGCTTAAGCCAGGAAGGGAACTACAAGACTAAATCATAGCTACAGTGAGGTCGACAGTTTAATGTGGGCAGACCATGCATGTGTTAAGAAGAAGGGGCAGACCGCAGTGGTTACCTCCTCAGTTTTAGCTATTATAACGCTTAAGGCTGGCTCTCTGTAAGCTGCTGTCAATTAGCAAGCTGATTGTGGTTGATTCAGGCAATCCTTTCAGCGTATGGCAAAATATAGAATTGGATCCAGTAGTGGGTGTAGTTATTATAGTAAATTAAAGAGTACGGGTCATTTTATTTCAAAAGTTGTAACGAAAGCAAGGGAAGTACATAATAAAGCCTTAAAGGGCCAGGTTAAGGTGTAACCGCCCGTCAGGGGCGCTCTAAGAACTAATGAATGCACCTGCAACAAGGCAGGGATCATTTCATTGGTCAACATTACAACTGGCATTCTATTGGTTGGGTTATTTTGAAAGGATTATTGCACAAAAAAGAAATCCAAGAGCAGAGGACAAATCTGACAGATGTTTCGCGAGCACACAGAAGCAGCTTGAGGAGGAGGGCTGGAGGGGTGGAAATCTGTGCAAGCAATAACATATCTAAGTGCAAGCATACAGTTTAAACAGAAATCAAAGCACAAGCAGAGGCTATTTTACTGTGAGGACAGGGTTTGATGGAAAGCATTACGAAAACTGAAGCAAAATCAAAGAGTCATGCTCTCAAATTGACAAAAGACCACACTCTTAAAAAGATGGGTAAAAAGTGTGGTGATTTGTATTCATTCCATAAGCAAGTTTTTAGTGAGCTGTACTGTATATAGTATATAGGCTACATCTATGCCACGGAAAAACTAGAGCCAAGAAATTGGACCAAAAAACATTGAAATTCTGGATGTTGCTGCTAAAGCACAGCTGAGCATAGATCATAGGGTGCAGTTTTATAATGATAGTGATAATAGTACTGATCTCATAACTTTTTGTCTCTCCACTGTTTAGCTGAGTTGTCTGCCTGAAGTCCCAGACTCAGGTAGCACCACAGTGGCCCCTTCCTCCTCCTCATCTTCTTCTTCCTCCTCCTGGTCTGGCGCTGACGGTTGTCTGGACAACCCCAAATATTACAGCTACATTGCTGTGCTGGCACTGATGGCCACCACCATGCTGGTTCAGGTCAGTCACATGGTCAAGCTCACACTGATGCTGCTCATCACAGTGGCCACCGGCATTGTTAACATCTACAGCTGGAGGGACATCTTCGACCGCTATGACATGGCCCGCTTTCAGGACTACAGGTGAGCCAAGACTTAGTTTCATGTCATCATGTGTTCTAACTCACACAGGCTCCTCTACTAGACTCCATGGGTAATACTCTCCTCCAACCACAAGCACATCGCTGTCTGCTATCTTTTTTCTCTTTAGCAAACTGAGTCGCCACAAAAAAAAACTTCTTCAGACACCAGTAGCAGTGGGATCCCTTCAGACTGTTTGACATAATGTGTTACAGTGATGAGGTGAGCAGGACCTCAAGATCAATGAAATTGAGAGCCCCACTCCAGTTGACGACGCTATGCCTCTGGTCATTCCCGCTGGAACAGCGGCTTTGGTTGCAGATGATGGAGAATAAGAGTGTCGCTGCCCCCTGCTTCCACAAAGGACAGTGAGCAGTTTCAGGGTGCAGGTATCTGGGTGTGCCCCCCCTAGAGGACGACTTCGCAGCCCACCTGTTTCAGCAATCAGCTGTCTGATCACCAGCCTGCGCTTGAATGCCAGGAAGCACAACGGTGCTTGCTTACCATTCCCCCTTAAGTATGGGACAACTTCCGATACTGGGGATCCCCACAGCAGCTGTTGTTAGGAACAACTTTGGGAGGAATGACCTCTTACATTTCACTGTTAACGGATGTGTCCCAAACAAGGTGTGGAGGGATCTGCGTGGGGCGAGTGGTTGTGGATGTGTCCCCAATAAAGGACTGACACACAAACCACCTCGCCAACCTCTCTGTGTCTGGCTCCAGAGAGGGACAGGCTGAGGAATGGCGGAATTATCTGTACAGGTTGTGCAGACCATCCTGGCTGCGAGAGCTGGATCCACCACTGCCTGCTAATGGGCAAAGTGGTTGGGCTTCCAATGCTGGTGCGAGGAAAGGAGACTAGATTCCCTATCTTGTGCAGTTGGTTTTATTCTCTCCTTTTTGCTATGTTTTATGGATAAAGGGCTGTCTCATGCCACTGTAAAACCATTTTGGCAAAAGACCATTTTTTAGCCACCCTCTTGTGAAGCGGTTCTTGGAGGGGGCGAGGAGGGGGCGCCCAGTGATGCGTGCCTCCACACGATAAGAACTGCCCTAGGTGCTCGAGGCCTCGAGATCCTTTCTGAAGACGTTGTCATTAAAGACAACTTTGCTCACTTTGACCTCAACTAAGATATTGTGTGATTGAATAGCGAGTTCTTTCAGGTCGAGGGGCTATACAGTTTGATGCTTTTTGTCTTCCACTCCATGAAGGGGACATGGAGGTAAAATTGAATCTGCTTTGCCCAGTTCGTATGTTGGCATGTTATGTTGAACGCACGGCCACCGTCGGGTACACTGAACAGCTTTTTGTGTACTTCGGGGATGGATCCAAGAAACGCCTTGCGGGATGGCTTTGTGAGTCTATAGGATCTCCCAAGCCTATAGGCAGGTGGGACGAGACCCTCTGCGGTCTGCGCTCAATCTTCACAATGTGGCAATCTCGGTGGCCGTGTTCAGCGGGGTGAGTGTCAAAGTATGGCGGCGGCGTGATTGATACCTGTCCATTGATGTGGTTCTACCTCTTGGACATGTCGTGCCCTTTTTCAGGGTCTGTGCTCATTTAAGCAACACAGGACTGGGGAAAAGCGTGGGGGGATGTCACTTGTGTTGCACCTGACTCCAAGGTAGGAATGCATGTTCATGGTTGGAGGAGAGTATTCCCTCCGCCTGTGTTTATATAGCTAGAGTTACTATATTGTGTGCTTTGTTCAATAACTTAACATACAGGAATTTGTAGGGTTGGGGGGTTTGAAGCACTAGTATTAAAGCAGAAATTGTCAATATGTCAATGTTCTTCTTCGCAGGTCGTACCTGGTGCCTTCCAAGTTCACAATGACAATTATGATCTTCATTATGATGGTCAGCTTCTATTATTTCTCCCGACATGTAAGTAAATGTCTTCTGTGTTCAATGTACTTAGATATTACATTTTGGAATGTAGTGATGGTATTACTACCCCAAACAATCAGAAAATATTAATAGTACAGCTGCCAACGAGATGTCATCACTCCTAGATGAGGATGATGACCTCAAACCTGATATCTGAATTTAGAAATAAAGAGGGAAAGGTTTAATATAATTATGATTGCCAAAAACCATTCCAGAAAACTTGATTTGGATCTGTATGTAGGAATATCTGATGTACTATGCAAAGAATTTAATGTTACAGAAAAACAACAAATTATGACTGAAGATCATCAGCAATTCGTATCATTTTTCTTGCAAAAGTCTAGATACAGGACAGTATGGGTGTTTCAATCAGATAAAAATAAAATGAATGACAACTGTAGAAACAATAAAGACTATGGTTGTAGGTTAATATGGCAACAGGCAATTATGGTTAACAGTGTAAAGGTAACAGAAATCTCACAGCCCTTAAACTGTATATTAGAGCATATATATTTGGATATTTAAGTTTAACCCAACAAAGTGCCAAATGAAACGTTTTTGCACTGAACACTAACAGGGTATTAATAACCAACGTATCAATACAAAGATTCATTCAACAATCCCAAAAAGGAGAAAAGAAGTTCGTCATTGCACTCTTAGTGCATTGTTGAATCGGAGAGAGGGACAGATAACCGACCACCTATCTGGTCAACTTTACAGATGTGCTGCAACAACTGTGGGAGTAAAACATGTAGGTAACAATATGAATTGCTGCTGCTAAAAGCTCTGTTTGTTTTGTATACAGTTGTGTTTTGAAATTCTTGCTGCACAAAAATATCCTTGTTCTTTGACACGCATTTCCAACAGACAATGTATACTGTACCCTTATTGTATCTCTTCCCCCATCCAGTTTTTCTCCATGCTGACAGTCTACAATTCTGAGTCACTGTTTCTGCCTTGAGTAGATTTTGTTTTGATCTACCCACTACATTTTGCATTTGCACACAAGGCCAATCAACTGGCCAGGCCACCAGCAATCCGTTTGGTGCTCCCGATGGCCGGTTCGGGACACTTTATTTGTGTAGTACTTGTCTTAGTAACATTGCAACCTTGATAAGAAAAAAACAAACAGTAAAACAATTATAATAAAATACAATATAGATTAACACATTACAATGACATAGAATTCACACAGAGATAAAAGCTTTTCGAAAGAAGAATGTTTTGAGTAGAGATTTAAAAGTTAAAAAGATTTAGCTAATCTCTGCAGGTAAGTCATTCCAGAGTTTAGGAGCCCGGACTGCAAAAGCCCCAAAGCCCTTAGTCACCAGTCTGGCTCTGGGATGGCCACTATCAGCTCATCTAAGAGGGCACACAGGCTCATAAACAGTTAATAGGTCTGTCAGATAACTAGGGGCCTATTTATTAAAAGCCTTAATGATAAACAATAGAATTGATAAGATCCTTTTTTCTTGAACCGTTGATAATCTTAGCTGCTGCATTTTAGACCAATTGAACCAATGTAATGGAGTAACAATGTATCTGGCCGTAGAGCAGCCGCTGAGTGGCAGCGATGTAGTCAGCAGTGGGTGTAGTTTTGTTAGCTGTAAGACACCGTCCAAAACAATACAAGGGAGCAAACAGTTTCCCCCCACTGTGTCTCTGGCCACAGAGCAGCAGCTGAGCGGCCGTGATGCACTCTGCTGTGTGATAATAATCAGAATTATTAACATCAGCTTTAATTTCAGATTCCATTACTTTTTCTAAACACGTTATTTCCTTCAAAAAGACATCATCAAAATAATTGTTGCCACCAAAAACAAATCAACAAAGTCAGCATTCACCATTCTCTAGTTTTCTCCATGGATGTTTCGCTAAACGTTGTGAGACCCAATTTATTTATCTCATTCCAAAACTGTTGGGGATTATGAGTTGGTAATCAATTTGCAATTAAAGATCTCTTAAAATGGCATTTCAGTGTGTAACCTCTTCAAATTTGGTTTGCCTTTCCTTAAATTCTATCTTCAGCCCTTCCCTCGGGTCTTCTGTTATGTTTTAGGATTTTTTTCTCTGCTGTTCTTACATTATTAAGTCTGCAAATCTCCAGCCCAGTAGGGTTTCTATATTTTTAAACCAGAGCCAGTTGGTCTTGTTGATCCCTCTGGCAGTAAATAGCAGGTGAAAATGACAAAACAGTATCCAGAAACCTATTCTGTAATTATAGTGGTAGTATCCCATCCACAGATTTGTCTTTCACTTCATACAATCCAAACAGTTTGTTTTTAAACTAAATAACCAACTCCCCCAGGTCCTTTAACTGCCTTTATGTGCATTTGTTTGGTTGTATCCAAACCAGGTACACACCTGTAAGTGAATAGCATCATTGCATCTTCAATGCATTTCATTAAGTGAGATAACATCAGGGTTATGGGCGAATAGTTCACAGTTCCAAACGGTCCAATGCACTTCTATGTGAATGTCAACATTTAACACAGTAAGATTGTCAACATTTGCGGGTTTTACATTTACCAATCCGTTCTACAAGTTGTCTCTCCCCAACCTCCAGCTCATTGAGCTACAGCCGGCTCTGTTTGCTGGCTTTCACTGCTTACGCCTCATCAGTCTCCTACTGCCATTCAGGAAATACTCCTTTCCAGATGGGAAAAATGTGTATAAAGTTAGCACAACTCAAAAATTGCTCCAACTGCTTACAATTGGTGGGGGTAGGCTACCCAGCCACAGTACTGACCTTGGCAGAGTCCATCTGAATTTGGTTGGCTGAACAACAAATCCCAAAAAGGAGACCATGGACACTTGAAACTCACACGTCTCTGCCTTGACGAATAGCTGGTGATCAAGCAGCTGTTAGAGGACCTGACGAACAAGTTGGATGTGAGATTCCCCGTCAGGGGAGAAGATGAGGATAAACAAACACAAACTGATGAAGCATGTCGCGAAGGACATCATTCTCATTTGTTGAAAATCCTGGCACCTTTTAGCAGTTCGAAAGCAAATGAAATGAGAGGGGGGGGGGGGGTACCTGTTCTTAATGGTGATGTCATTCAGGTCTCGTAGTTGATGCAGGGACGGAGAGACTTGCCTCTCTTTGTTGACTAAGAAGAAACCTGCTCCAGCAGGAGAGGCAGAGGGTCGGATGATTCCCGAAGCAAGGGATGAGTATATATTTCTGCAATGCCTCCAGTGGGGAGGCAGAAAAGTGGCATGGGCTTTATTTAAAACATCTTTTAAGTCCATGTAGCAGAAAGGGACTTCCGACAGGTTGGGAAACGGAGGGGCCTGAGCTTCCGCGGTAACAGAGAACGGGTGGTCAGGTAGATTGGGGTGAGAAACAGACAACAAATTTATGCTTCACAGAACTGACAAATCAACTTGTTCTCACTCGCAACTCGTTAAATACTTACGCTTAGTCAGTGCAGGTAACCTCACAACCCTCTCCCCAAATCGCCCCCAATCTCTGTTAATATATAAATTCCATCCAAGAGGTGCCATAAACAATGACTCATTCATGATGATTAGAGAGTTTGGAGGAAAATGTTCTAAAAGAAAAGAAATGGGTAATGGAAAAAGTGCTGCCCATTAGACCACAACATTGGGGGTGACTGAATTTTAATACTTGTGTTATCAAAGTCCTTGGCTGAACTCTGGATCATCAAATGACTGTTAATCCGCCTGGCAGGGTTATCTTCAGTACAGCAGCGAACAGGAGACCCAACATAGTACCGGGACAGGCGTGGAGCTGCCGCTTCACAGCTGCAAAGGCTGTGTGCTTCTTGGAGATGGAGGTAGTGTAGTCAGGAAATGTTTTTCTTCCCCCTGTACAGGTGTTGGGACGCCCGCGAGATTTCGCTAGCACGTTGCTAAATTTCATTGTAGAAATTGTGGATGAAAGGTCTTTGTGCGGAGAGGGCGGTTAGCTCAGTCAAGTGGCGGCATCCAGCTCCATAATGTCACTTAGCAGTTGTGCAGCAAAGTTGGTCAGGCGAGCACTCTCCAAACCTTATGGAACTCCAATCAGACAAATATTTCTCATGGACCTTCGTTCTAAGTCCTCACATTTGTCAGTCGGTAGTTTCACCTGGACTTTCAGGGAGTTCAATGTTGAGTCCAGAATGGACAGCTGGCTGGTCCAGTTCTGGCGATACCAAAGCAATCTCCAAGCAAATGTCCGAAGAGTGAGTCAATTCTCCCGTATATGTTGCTTTTCTTTGAAACAAGCATTGGTTGTAGTTGGCCTCAGTCGGGAGGGTTAGCATTGCTAGCATCTAACTGCGGCAGGGAATCTGGATCAGTCAAGGGCGAGGGTTTGGTGCGGCCTCCTTGCCAAGTATTTGCATTTGTTCGATTTGAGGACATCCTGGCTCAAGCGTACAAAAAGTGAGCTTAACTTTTGTTCAGGCAAAAAAATAACAGGGTACCAACAAGAATCTACAAGTAAATAGTGCTCAGACTTTGGAGTATCCCGTTTATGTCAAATCCCGTTTTCAGAAATCGGAATAAGCCCGTATCCTGTTTATGAGAAACCCGAATATGCTAGCTGGAATACTCGGAAAGAAACAGGGATATTGTTGCGAGTATATACCTTATCCCACTCATTGGTGATTGGAGTGGAGAAATTAAGTTGTCAAGTGGTAGTAAATGTACAGTCTAGTGTTTAATATTTGTTTTTGTAAACCTCACAGCGCCTGCACAAATAGAATGCAGTAACCGGGTTACTAGTATTTTTTAATTTTCGGGGATATGAAAAACCACATTTTTCTGCGCTCATGTGAACACAGTCACCAACCTCCCGTTGCCGGCTTAGCCTGAAGTGAAGAGCAATCCTGATTAAACTCGGTGAAGACATCCAGCACGACTTGAAGATGCACACCAAGTTTCATTCACATCCACTGAAGGGCGGAGAAATAGTGGAACTTTCAGTGTGCAAATTAGAAATGCTGCACACATTCTGATGAAACAAGTGTGTGATTGGTTTCACTCCTTCTGTAGACAGAATTAACATAGCTGAAGTGTCTTTGCTCAGTTTTGTGAAATCCAAAACCCTCTCATTGCTGCTTGCAGCTATGATTTTGGCAATTGAGCTGCTTTGCTGTTCACTTTAGAACAGGGGTGTCAAACTCATTTTCACCCCGGACCACATCAGCATTATGGTTGTAACTGTGTAAATGTAACTACTCCCGAACATATTGTTAAATAACTGTCTCTGCATTTGATTGTGTATTCAAGTGTAAAAAGATTGTACTTGCAGTTATATAAATGAAAAAATATATGCAAGCACATTTGTTACTATAGCATAAATAATTTTAATAGGGTTAAGAATGTCACGGGCTGTGAGTGTGGACCCAAATGCAGGCACAGACCAGGGATTATAGGTGAAAGGTTTATTGACAGGAAACCAAGGGGGGGGGAATGACCAGAGCACCGCGGGAAAATCCAGGGAGGGTGAGTGTGGAATCCAGGCAGGAGGAGGTAGGGCAGGGCAGCCAGACTGCGGAACCGGGAGGATGAAAAAACTGCAGGAACAGAGAGACAGGGTTAAAGCACTGAAACAACACTTGGGAGAAAACTCTGAATTATCTTCAAAAAGAGCGGCCAAGAACTACTAGCTACCACGTGAGCTGTAAACAACGATCTGGCGAAGAGTGGATGAAGAACCGGGGTAGATATACTGTTGGGTTGATGAGTTGATGGAGTGCAGCTGGTTTGACTGGGCAGGTGAGGTGAGTTGTAATTAGGAAGCCGGGAGGAGACCAGGTCGAAGCCCTGCCCATAAGATACACACACGGGACAAGCAGGAGGCACGGCCTGGCCGTGACAAAGAAACCCACATTACTCTATCAAAGATCAAACTTTTAAAGAAAATAGCAAAGACAAATATCAAACACAAGTTATTACATTAACTTTGTTCAAACTATTTTTGTCACCTCTGCATCACTAATGTTCCTCCCCGCCGTCCCGTGCATGGTAGCTACATCCAAGAGCTCCTCACTGACGGTCAAGTCTGCCTTCAGTCTCTTATGAACATTGATAGATGCGCTGTGTCCGTGTTGTCTGTGCTTTCATCAACAGCTAATGAAAAAGACAAGTAACTCGTCTCTTCGGCTAGCTGTGTTGTTAGATTGCCTGCTAGTTCCTGAACTCGGTCTGCGATGGTGTTTCTTCACAAACTGACATTTGTAAAAGTCTGTATCTGGGTGGGGCACACGTGCTCACATACCTTTAGCATGCACTGCTTCAATGCACCTTCTGAAAAACGCTTGGAAGCTTGGTCGGTTTCTTCAGCCACAATAAGGCTAGCTTTCACAGCAATTTTGGCTGTCACCCTTGTAAATATATTCTGCTGTGATTGCAGTCTGCCTTTTAATTCTTGGACAATTTTATGTTTTTCTTGGAGGCTAAATTCAGTATACTTGGCCCTGAGTTTGGTGTCAAAATGCCGAGGTAAATTGTATTCCTTCATTACCGACACTGCCTCATAGCACAGAAGACAGACCGGTTTTTCTCCTTGAAGCACAAACATGTATTCGCTTCCACGTCTTTCATTAAATTGCCTTTCCTCTGCATCAATTTTTCTCTTCTTGGACATTATGGGATTATTTGTCGATCTTTATCAACTCAATGGCCCAATCCCAATGTTCCCCCTTCCAGACTCACCGACTTTGAGGCGCGCTCCCGCGAAGTCTGAGGGTTTAGGGCTGTCCCACTGTCACATCATCGAGTGTTTGAGTCTCTCACAGACATTTTGAGCCCTTTATGAGCCCTTAAGTCAGTCTTAAGTCTCATGGTATGCTGACTTAGCCTCAGGGAATTACCCACAAATCATTGCAATGTGACATTAAACACGGGGTAACCAGTGGACGCATAGAGACGGGAAAAAAAAAAAAAAAAGGTAAAGAAAGAGGACGGCTCACGTGTGTTCAGCCTGTCATATAAAATTTACTCAGAAACATTAAGGGTTAAAGATGGAACAAAAAATAAACATGATAAACATAAATCAGAGGATATTTATTTGTTTATTCATCAAATATTTGATTTTGTCATTGAAGCTGTTTTGACAAAAACGAGTAAATAGATTGCATGAAGTTACCTCATCTTGTGAGGAATGAGCCTGGAAGAAGTTCAAATCAGGGAGTACAAAGTATAAAGTAAATACACACTTATACATCATATTTTTTGTGGTTTTCATGGTAACATGATATGTTACAGCAAAGTGCTCAAGCCCTCACAGTCTCTCACACTCAACCACTTACCAGGTGACGTCAGTAAGTCCTTGAGGGTTCAGGTTTTGAGGCTTTAGGGGGGACATTGGGATTGGGCCAATCACTTGTTGGTAAACCACTTTAGTTAAACACCGATAATGGAAACACTGCCGTCTAGCAGCCGGATGCCGTCATTTCGCGGTTCACAAAATCGGCATGCATTGTGGGAGATGTAGTTTATGGTCACTGTACACTGTAAAGCAGCATAGACTTTAATTTTAAGACAATCATATGCTTTCAAGCTCTTGCGGCCTTAAGTTTGACACATGCGCTTTAGATGAAACAGTTGGATTGATCTTACTGATCATTATATACTTCAACTGTCACAGAAAAGTTCTTTTGCCACATATTTTCCTTGAGCTGTGGCCTGCTTGAATACATGAGGCAAATCCTTCACTTTGGAAATGTAGTCACATGTGAAAGTGCAAATAGAGTAGGGGTGTAACGGTTCACAAAATTCTCAGTTCGGTTCAATACGATACAGTGGTGCCACGGTTCGGTACGTTTTCAATACAGCAAAAAAGCACAAATGCCAAATCCTCGCTGGTGACACTCTCAAGAGGGCGTGTCTGAAGAACATGGCTCTTCATCTCCATTCATCAGTGAGATAATGTGTTGTTACAGTCAGCTAGCTTTCTATGGTCCGTGACGTCCGGCCATCAGTTGTCAGCGGGAGCTTCGGACATTGGATTCTCTGTTCGGGCTTTTGTTTTCTTTTATAAAGCAGGAATTATGGTCTGGAGAAATGGGCTCGTGAATGAGTAGTGCCACTGGGCTCAATAACATTAAGCATGTTCGTACAGCCTCGTTTTCCACTCCAGAGTAGGGTCTCATCCACGGCTATAAATATACCTTTAGCCCTGTTTGAATCAGTAGGGAATAGCTGCCTAAACGCTGTGGGGAGAGTTTGTAGCTTGTGTGTTGCTGTTGGTTTTCCTGGTAAGCTAGTTTAGCATAGCGTGCCTCCCAAAACAAACATGCCTCACCATAGTAGAATGTTTGTCAGACAGCATGTTGTCTGTTACGTAGGGTAGTTTGCCTTGTTGAGCGCATTATATTTCACACAATTTAAGCTTTAGCATAAATGCAATAGTATTATTCAAACGAATTGTTCGGTTCGTAATGCGTACAAAACCGTAAGCCTCGTACCGAGCGGTTTAATACAAATATGTGTATTGTTACACCCCTAGAATAGAGAATATGTTTTTTAACAGATTATGGTCAAGCAGTCCATGGGACAGTATATGTGATTTGTTTATATCTGTCATTCTCTTCGGAATTAGCAAATAAACTTTAGTTCACAGAAAAAGATGCTCTTTTGAAAGGTGTTTTTCTACTTTTTGGAATTAACGTTGTCTTGTAAGTGTATTGATGACAAAATCAATATATTGGTCAAATGCTAACATCAGTGCCTGTCGCTGCCTGAAGGTGGAGAAGCTTGCCCGCACCTTGTTCCTGTGGAAGATCGAGGTCCATGAGCAGAAAGAGAAAGTGTATGAAATGAGACGCTGGAATGAAGCACTGGTGACCAACATGCTGCCTGAACATGTGGCTCGACACTTCCTGGGCTCCAAGAAAAGGGATGAGGTAAGATCCACACCAGGTCGGTCCTTACTTCAGTGTGTGTGTGTGTGTGTGTGTGTGTGTGTGTGTGTGTGTGTGTGTG